TGCTCGAAAGCCATCCGAGCCCTATGGAAATAGAGCCCGACCTTGTCTAAAGTGCTCTGACCACACTCCAGAAGATCCTCGGGGGCCTCCTGTGCGGCGAAATCTGCAGGGGTCTTGAGGTTAAGACCACACCAGATGGAGGAGGCAGTCTGGCCGAAAAGCATCATTGACTCTTTACGGGGGCCAACCCCGGAGAACTCAATAAGGCCAAGAGAGGACCTGTCGGTTTCTGGAGGCGATGAAGGACGAGCGTCACCAGACCCCCCAACGGTCTGTACATCCTTGACGGAGAAGGAGGGGGTTTGCTCCTCGAAGTATGTCTTCTCTTCAGGGGACTACTAGGTTCGCCATCAGAATCATCAACCACCACGACGGCCTTAGAGGCATCTCCGTCAAGACGTGGCTTCTTCGAAGCACTAGCCTCCGAGGCCTCCTCAGTTCGCGGCCTCGTCACCCGGGACTCAACCTTGGGGACGAGCGGCCTCCTGCCCTTGTCCTGATCTTTGCCTCCCCAGTTCCTCATCCGTCATAGGCGGTGGGATGGACTTCACCGGATAGGCATTCCATCTATCAGAGAATGGCATGGGGGAACCTACTCCAGCCAAGAAGAACCTCTCCTCTCAACCATCCGGATTCCCGGCGTTGTTCGAAAACAGGACCATAGACGGACGGGCAATCAGGGTCAGATACCCCGTTCGTCCAAACGGGGACAACCGGAAAAAATGATGTAGCAGGTCTACTGTGGGGACCATGCTGACGCTATGGCATCTGACGATGAAGCCCGCAATAATTCTATAGGCGGCGGGGACGAGCTGCGCAGGCGTTACCCTAAGACTCCTGAAGAGTTCTAGATGGAAAGAATGTAGGGGGAAGAAGAGGCCGACTATAACGGAATCTAAATGGACCACCACATAGCCGGGCAGATGGCGCATCGGATTGCGCAGACGACGATTGATGGATAGTCTACCCGGGGGGTATCTAATTCGAGGGGTTATTGCGGGAATAACTAGAGAGAAGTCAGAGCAAAATAGGAGGAGAGAGAGTCGATTTATTAAATGAACTCTGCATGGTTTACAAGGTGAAGAAGGGCTGCTATTTATAGCAGCAATAAATGCGATGAGAGTACACGTGTCAACAATCCAACGGTCGAGGGGTCACATCAATCGGGTGGCACTGGCAGTGGCATGTTCACCGCATTGAATGCGATGGGTGGATGTGACGTCGTATTAAATGCGGTGGTTGGCTGTCTCCAAAGGGAATCTTCGATGATTGAGCCTGTTTGGCCGAAGGCTCCTCGAGTAGCCGAGGGCTCCTCGTGTAGTCGAGGGCTTGGCTGTGGCCGAAGGCTTTGCATAACCGAAGGCTCGGTTCTTCCCCCGAGGGCTTCTCTAATGCCGAAGGCTTCACAGTGCTGAAGGCTCATGTTTTTCTGCCGTTTTCTCCCAGTAGCTTCGTATGTCGGAAAAAGTCTATACTGTGAGTTTTGGAGCCTTCAGCCAAGGAGGCCGAAGGCACCCAGTGTGTACTTCGGACTTTTTTTAGGCTTGGGCCGTTGTATTTGGGCCTCAGATGCTCCCTGGGCTTAATGGGCTTTTGTAGGAGAAGCAGGAGTCTATGGGCCGGGGGTTCCTGGGCCATATACTCCATCAACGATCGTCGTAAACCCTTGGAGGGTAAAACCACTGGCTGATCAACCGCCGATCCGCGTTCAACAAACGCTGACGCTGACGATGAACGCCAGAAAAGTTGAGGTGGTGACGGGGAGGCCGAGGTGGCATACCCCGTTCATAGAACTCTAGGTCATCACCCGAGGAGCACCCGTCGTCAAACCGATCCCCGGTGGACGACGAGCTGATTGGGGTCCTTGAATCGATGATTTGAGACTCCAACCTAGACGAAGACATGACGACGTTCAGTACCTGCGGGTATCAAAATCGGTGCAGTGCAGAAACGGCTAGAGAGAGAAAGCAATTGCACAGCGTAAGGACCAGAGAAGGAGCAAGTGGTTGATCCGCGAGGTTTTTGGGTACTTATAGGCAGCACCGCGGGACTGCGCCAACCACAAAAAGACACGTGGCGTCAAAACACCGGTATATTCCGCGGTATTGAAGACGCCTCGATTCTGGCACCTACTTTTCGGAAGAAAGCACCTTATGCCCCACCGTAAAGTGAGGGCGACGAACGTCCTGCCGAAAGAGCGAGCTGGAGCGCGCCACCAGGGACGCACCACGCACCCACGGGGCGTAAGAAGAAATATGGACTTCCTAACTTGGAAGTTCCACAAGATACTAAGGTACGTCCGTCTCAAAACACTTGGGAAGGAAACTGTCACGCCCCAGACCGCGTCTGTGCCACGTGGACAACCGTCGTACAACCCAATAAGAATAACCGCAGTTCATCCTTACCGAATTATACAAGACGTCCGAAAGATACATATGCCAAAATCGATTAGTAAACTTACATAACAACATCAACATACAATCAAACACATAGCGGAATATAAGTGTTTAGTAAGAACCCACACAAGGGTAAAACAAGAGCTCGCAGACTCCATTAATTTATAAGTGAAAATAGTTCCATGAGCATTATTTAATTATTTAAAAATGGAACGAGAGGAAGCACGAACCACGTCTTCTCTCCATTGATCTCCCGAGCAACGGGTGCAGGAAGTAAGCTCTAGCTTCAACCTGAAAGGGTGGTTCCCCCGAGGGATCAGTACTACAGAAAAGTACTGTTGAGGGCAAACTGTATGTAATGTAACTAACGTTTCTCACGTGAGACCCTCAAAATAGGGTGATAGTATTATTATAGGCATAACTCAGCTACCCCTTTTCAAAACAAAATGTATACATATATACATATGAGTAAAATATCTGGCCCGTGGGCCCATTTGTCCTTCAAATCATTTAGGCGTGACAGCCTCATTAAATTCACCCTTCCCGTATCTCACCCTCGAGTGGAGTCACCCGCAAGCTAACTCACTCGATATCAAAATATAATTACTGTGGGGCCATTCAGACTCCCATATCACGGACGTGGTTTAAATCAATTCCTAGACCAAGGAAAATACCCTATCAGAAAACTCGTTCCCGATCAAGCACGTTTAATCATTTAACATCATTACCTTGATGTTCACCTACCACGAGGACTATCCGTCCTTGCTATCATAGTTTTCATTTCCGGGATAACCCCGCCTTGAGGAGTACGCATACACCCTCATCCTATGTGTAATTTACTGGAGGTTAACACACCTCAAGGACTACACGGGCCCTTGTTACCTATGTGTAATTTGATGGAGGTTAAACACACCTCAAGGACTACACTTGCCCTTGTTACCTATATGCACTTTGATGGAGGTTAACACACCTCAAGGACTGCATTTGCCCTTGTTACCTATATGCAATTTGATGGAGGTTAAACACACCTCAAGGACTGCATTTGCCCTTGTTACCTATATGCAATTTGACGGAGGTTAAACACACCTCAAAGACTGCATTTGCCCTTGTTACCTATATGCACTTCGATGGAGGTTAACTCACCTCAAGGACTGCACTTGCCCTTGTTACCTATGTGTAATTTACTGGAGGTTAACACACCTCAAGGACTACACGGGCCCTTGTTAACGTTTGAGTGTGGAGGACTCCTCCTGGTCCTACAGAGTATTATTTAACCTTATTTGGTCCCGGGTATTCACCCGCCATGTATAATCTACCACGTACCTCGCCCAGTCGTGGTCTATAATTTATTCACTAACGACTAGTCCAAGTCTTAGCGTTTAATCCGTATTACAAGCCTTAGCATTTTAAACATCATATTTCATGCAATTCCATGCAAAATATTCATATATAGGATGGCTAGAATTAATCCCACGTCGAACCGGGCTCCGATTCGCGTTTTCGGCGAAAACGAAAATTGGAGGCAGCAGCTTACCCGGCCCCGGGTATGCCCTATACCGGCGCCGGGTATGTTCGGAGTTTTGGGTCAACGGCCCGTTGACCTCCGAGTTGACCCCCGAAACGTGCTCCGTTTGGCCCGAAATTTTTACACAATATGTATTATGTCTAATACAATCAATAAATGCTATTTTGGCCATTCGAACATATCTTATATTTTATATAAATATTTCCAATCATTTTCATGTATAATACTTTAGTTTATTTCTCATAAACTAGTTTGCTTTCATAACTTGCATGGTTAAGCACCTTTAATTCTTCAAAAGGATACCACCTTGCATTTCCTTTAATCACCTCATGAGATGAGCCATTCGTGATTCATCATTCAATTAGAATATTATAGTCTCACAACTATTAATAAGTATTTCATACTTATTAATTATTTATACTTTTTATTCTAGTTTATCCCTCACAACTAGATCATTTTAGTAACATGCACTCTTAAGCATTTCTAAAATAGTTACAAGAATATTACTTGAGTTACTTTGGTCATTTCTCAAATGAGCCAACAAAATCATTTATATTAATTAATCATACCTTGTATTTTTTTTACCTTAGTTTATTTCTCATAAACTAAATTCACTTTAATGGCTTGCATGATTAAATACTTGAATCCTTCAAAAATACCATCTTGAATTTCCTTGGTTAATTTCCAAATTTATCATTCATGATTATCCTTCATCAAAAGTATTAATGATTCAATTACTCATTAATCATGCCATTTTCGCATAACTTATCATCAATATAGTTAATCACATGTTTAAACATTTTTAAACATTTCTTTACATATTCATACACTAGATTACTCTAGTTGTCTCATACATAGTTCATGTATGCATTGTTATACATTTGACCATAACATATTCATGGTTAATCCACAAATAAATCTTTTATTCATTAACCATATAATAATTTCATAATTCATATTCATCATGACTAATCATGCATTTTAATCCATTTAATCATTTCTCAAATAATGACTATGATTTTATTTAGGTAATCCCACGTTTGACTCAAGAGTTACAAGACACGTAGTCGTCCACTCACCTTGAAATGACGCTAGCAAGCTTTTATCCTCTTTGTTTGAACTCCGGTGACTTTTGGAATTTTCCGGCGAAACTCCGGCGGCTCCGGCGACTTTCCGGCCACTCCTAGATTCCTCGAGAAGTCTAGAATACCTTGGTAAAATTCCTAACAAGTTTTCACAACCAAAAGTGGTATAAATGTCAAAACCTTCCAAGAAGGTGTTTTCCGGTGAACCGGTCTTACTCCGGCCATAACTCCGTTCATGGTTAAACTTAACCTTCCAAACCCTCATTCAACACCTCTAGAAGTTTATCATATGATTTATAAAATCATATGAGATTAAATGAAGGAAGAAAAATACTATTGAAGTCATTACCTTGGTTTTAATAAGTTTTTCTCTTCTTTTCCAAGCTTTTCTTCTTCCTTGAGCCTTCTTCCTCCTTGAGCTCGGTTCATGGCTATGGAGGTATGTTTACAGAGCTTCTTCTCCCTCTCTTGATGGTGCTGGCCGAGTGGGTGATTGAGGGGAGAGAGATTGATGTCCTTTTGGCTCATTCCACCCATAATATTAAGGAAAAGGGTCCACATATGTCTCTCATTGATGCTCATCACTTCAAGCCAACTTCCTATTTCTTTCCTACCATTATACAGCCGTCCCTTTGTCTACTTTGCTGAATAATTTCGTGGGGTGGCCCCCACTAATGTGTGAGGTCATCCCTTTAAGTCCAAAAGTGTACAATCGGTCCCGAAAGTTGTATTTTCTGGACTGTTTCAATTATATTTTATTTTATCGTGTTAAATAAAATATATATCATTCTTCCAATTAATATTGGCCTCTAAAATGAATATATATTATCCCACTTTAATTTCGTGGTCGCCGAAATTAATTTTGGGCTGTTATCGATTTAATTACCTATACCGGTAATGAGACCTCGTTTGATCGAAAGGCCAACTTTATGGCTCAAAATTTATTTACAACCTCATATAAATATTATCTAAACCAAGATGAATATAATATGTGGTCCGTAAACATCGGATGGTCCCCGCCCATGTGTGGGCCCAACGTGCATTTTACTGTTCAAGTAACAGTAAAAATGAGAACACGTTGTTTTAAAAATTCATCCATCATTCCTAATGACTAAATATGTGTTTTCATATTTTGTGACACTTTAATAAAATGTTACACTTATTTTTAAGTGGTCCCAACTGTATAAGCAGATAAAATCTTATCTGTTTATTCTTATACGAAAATATCTTCAAGGTAGGGTCCTCCAAAAGTACCCACCTCTAATATGTCAATTTAATCATACATTATCATCCCATTATTTTGGGTTTTTAAAACATTTATATTCCTTCTGTTATTAATTCGTAGCCTTCCGAATTATTATCAGTTCGATGATTAATGATTCACAATTATCGAATAGAGACCCCAGCCCGCTTGGCCGTCTAGTTGTCGTTTCTTTATATCACTGGGTCCATGACCCATCCCTACTATCATAATAGTATCATTTTGGTAAACATTAATATTTTATAAATGAACTTAGAATATCACTAGAGGTTCCACGCCAAAATTAATAACCCTTTATTAATTGAAGACAAAATTTTACTTTCTTATTTATCAAGACTACTCTTAGTCTTGATTTACCTTCTTTGTCTCAGTAATTGTTGAAAAAAAAATCTCACAAAAAAAATTCAGGCCCGGTGTTACAGAAACAGATGGGCTAAGTGGACGAACGTCTCAAGGAGATCCTGGCCTTAACACCCGGCGCGACAAAGCACGAATTCGGGGAAGACGAACGTCTCTGCCCAGAAGGCACCCGTAAACACATACTTCACCAAACACGGTAGGTGGCGGCGAACTCAGCCATCGACGAACGTCTCTAACCAACAGGCGCAGTAAAAGAATTGGCTCGTACAAGCGCACTTCGCCAAAAAAGAAAAAAAATGGTGAAAGGCAGCAACTTGACGTTTGACGAACTGGGTTGCGGGCCAAGGTGGTAAACAAGTATGATCGTTAAGGACCATCTTTCGCACAACCATTGAAAAACTATGCAGAGCGTCGAATCAAGATCTCGCGCACAACAAGAGAAATGACAAAGTAAAGGAAGACGAGCGTAGATGCTGCCATGAGCAAAAAATGTGTATATTCCTCAGCACTACCGGCTGGAGTTTACGATGATATCAAGCAAAATAAGTGAAGTTTTACATCAAATGAAGTTGGGGGAAACAGGCCGGGACCCTCAGGGACGACATCTTCTTCCTCCTCAGGCTCAGGGGTCGGGGGCTCCGGGACTTCGCCCCTAGCCTTGGCTTCCTCGCGACGAGCGTCCCGCTCCAGCTTGCCCAGAGCTCGGACCAGCTCGGCATCAGTAGTGTGCTGGGCCAAGTTGAAGCTGGGACCATGCAGAGCGGTGAAGACGGGCAACGTGGCCTTTACCCCCTCATTATAGCCAATGATGAAAGAACTATCCCCAACGTCATAAAGGAACTTATCAGATAGGGGGCACTCTCCAAGATCCGGACCCCGAACTTGAGACGATCTTTCGGCGCCTGCTTCTGCAGCTCGGCTGAGAACACATCACCGAATGCGCCACCACAATACCTCTGGGCGGCAACCATAAAGGCCCCAGTATTCTCTTAACCAGAGGTATCAACGAGCCACTCAGGGGCCTCGTCCTTCAGAGCTGGGAGAACCGGAACCAGCTTGAACCCGGCCTTGTCAAAGGCAGCAACTCGCTCGGAGGAATCACGAGCCGCTTGCCGGGCGGCCTGCAACTCCTTGTCCTTAGCAGCCACGTCCTTCTCTAAAAGACGGGCAGCCTCCCGCGCCTTCTTCAAGACTGCGTCCGCTTTATTCTTGGCCTGAAGGGCGTTAGCATCCCTTTCCGCTTCTGACTGCAGCACAGAAAGCCCGACCTGCAAATAAGGGACATGAATATGAGGTTGCAGATCTCCAAGCTGGAACCCGCCAAGCAATGTAAAATAAGATTTACCTGAAGAGCGGCGGCTAAGGCAGCATTGGAGGCCTCCGAGGACGTGCAGACCGGCACCTCCACCCCGGTCAGAGAAGCAATTTCTTGTCAGATATCATGAGCCGGACGCCCTAGAGGAAGGACGGCCGTTTCTTGCTCTAAGGGGGCCGAAGAGCCGGCCTCACGCGGCCTCTTCGTCTTCTTGTCCTTAGGTTTTCCCCCCACCTGGGGAAGGACGGTCTGTAGGGGCGCCACCACTTCGGGGACGCCGGAATCAGCAGGGGATGCTTGGACCCCCTGTGCCATCACTGTGGCAATCAGATGCTGTTCCGCCTCAACCGTACGCCGGTCGGCCTGGGAGGCGGAGGAGTGGGAATCAGCGGCCTGAGCGACCTTGGCCTTGGCAAGAGCGGCATCGGCAGTCGCGCCCTTGCCTTTCCTTGTCTTCAACATCTTCGCATGATTCATTTGAGCTTCGGTTGGGGGAGGACCTGAAGTAAGAAAATACAAGGAGTTAGCACCGGGCGGCATGACCCTTAAAAGTACTCACCATTGGAGGACAGGACCGCCCGGATCCCAGAGACGAACGAAGGGGGAAGGGGAGTCCTGAGATTCAGGCGGTACCTATCCCCGCTTTGGCGAGCATCTCAAAAGTAATGAGGTCTTCCACGTCCTGGATGCCTATATCCAACAACTTCTTGGCTTGCTCTTCCAGCTCGTCGGACAGTTTAGGAGAGCCAATTTTCGGGGGATACCCATTCCAGCGGATCAGCAGACGAGCGTCCGCATAACGGACAAAGAAATACTTATTTTTCCATTCATGGATGGACGTCGGTGCCCCCTCGAAGAGCCTCCGCTTCGGTCGAGCGGCTACGCTCAGATACCCATCTGAATTTTTGGGAGTGATCCGGAAGAAGAAGTGGAACAGTTCCAAAGTTGCAGTGACACCGACGCCCTTACAACGGACAAGGAACGAGGAAATGAAGCGATATGAGTTGGGCATGAACTGTGCTGGGGCCACTTCGAAGCAGCTAAAAAACTCAATGTAGAAAGGGTGAAGTGGGAATCGCAGCCCGGCCCTGATGGAATCAAAATGCACCATTACCATCCCCGGGCGTCTCCTCATCACATGGGTCGCGCCTCGGAGGCTGTAGCTAAGCGGATCGGGGAAGTAGATACGAAGCGCCTCAAGGGCCAGGTCCGAAAAGAATTGCTCGTGGCCGATCGCGTTCTTGATGGGGCAAATATGGCGCTCCACGTCAACCGTTAGGCCCCGATCGAACACCTCTACGTCAGACACATCAATGGCCTCGATGCCCGAATCATAGTCCTCTGTGCGCTCATTATCACCGCCTATGTCCTCCACGACCGTCTGGATTGCACCACCTTGGGGGGTATCGTCCCCATCTCCCCCAGGGACCGCATCACCATGGGTTGCGCCGACCGAGGAGGTACTTGCAGTGGTAGAAGTCCCAATCGCATTGTCCTGAACAATCAACCCCGCGACAGACGGGGAGCCGGAGCGGCCGGAGGTACTGGCGCCCTCGGAGGAGCGCGAACTAGCCTCAGAGCCCGAAGAAGAGCGCGAACTGGCCTCAGAACCAGAAGAGGAGCCGGAAGAGGAGCCCGAGCCAGAACTCGACGAAATTTCCATGGAAGTCATTGAAAGAATCAAGAAAAAAAAAATAATACCTTAGAGCAACGGGATTGAGCCGAGGAGCTTGTAGACAAGAATATTGCAGAACAGCGAAATTCTGGAGCAAGAAAGCGAGAATCAGAAACCCTAAACATATGGAGAAACCCGATATTTATAAGGGAGGCAACGCCTCATAAACCCAATGGCTAAATGACACGTGGCGGAGAGCGTACCCCAGGGACACGCGACGCGCGTGGGAGAGGAATGTAATGATGACCTTGCCTCGAGAAGTGTACCGTTTCTGCGGCAGCCGTCACCTCGATTCCTGAACCGCCATCAGACAAACGACGCCATGGAGAGGAGCGTCCACTCTCAGGAAGGCGGCAGACATAAGTTCCATAAAACAAACGTCCGACTTCGGGGGACAATATACTTCCTTATGTCCTTCACACGCTCAGAACATCAGGAGTGAGGGACTTGTGTTAGGTTAATGGCCCAACACATGGGCCGACCCATTCAACCCAGCCAGGACGAACGTCCTCCTTGGCGGGACGACAGCCCACTCGGACGAACGTCCGAACAAAACAAATGGATCAATCCACAGACAAGCACAGCGGCGACGAACGTCGCCCCCGGAAGCCATTATCACTTGGGTTAATCCAACCTGTGTAACAAATCATCTAAGGGCCAGGATAAGAACGGCCCGGTACCCTTTACGATATCACCAAGAGCAGGCCCTTTATCCGGACTGGACGAACGTCCCCACGACTAGGCGGGAAAACCAGATTCTGGCGGGGAGCGCATTTAATGCCGGAGATTTGGTGGTTGGGACACCAGCCACACACAAGCCTCCACGTCAGCATAGCCAGCTACCCATTGGTGGTATAAATAGCAGCATTTATTTCATTTTAAAGGGTTGACAACTTACTATTCTTAGCACTCTAGCTATAGCATTCTTACTCGCAGCTCTTCTACTGCCCTGTAAGACGAACGACCGACGA